CTGGGGCCAGCTGGGAAAGGGGGCACTTTCGTGACAATGGGGGGATGAATTCATGTGTGCCAGGGGGCACCCTGGGACAGTGCAGCCTAATAGGAGCGAGGACATTGAGTCTTCAGCCTCACCACTCACACAGCTGTGTGACCTTGGGCAAGGTCCCCAGTCCTCTGAGCCTCGGTGGTCCCATCGGTAAAACAGGCAAATGATCATACCTCCCTCTCCATGGGACTGAGGGTGGCTCAGTCCATTAAGCATCCGACTTCGGTTCAGGTCATAATCTCGCAGTTTGTGAGTTCAAGCCCTGCGTTGGGCTCTGTGCTGACAGTTTGGAGCCTGAAGCCTGCTTCAGATTTGGTGTCTCCTTCCTTCTCTGCCCCTCCCTCACTCATGCTCTGTCTCTCTCTCAAAAATAAATAAAATACTAAAAATTTTAAAAAAAGAACCGTGCTCTCTAATAAAGCTTCCAGCGTTACAATTTTTTTATTTTATTAAAAAATAGCTTTTAATGTTTATTTATTTTTGAAAGATAAGGACAGAGTGCGAGTAAGAGAGGGGCAGAGAGAGAGGGAGACACAGAATCTGAAGCAGGCTCCAGGGTCCGAGCTGTCAGCACAGAGCCTGACACGGGGCTCAAACCCACGAACCGCGAGATCATGACCTGAGCCAAAGTCGGACGCTTAACGGACCCCCATCATTACAATTTTCTTTTTTTTTTTTTAATTTTTTTAATGTTTTATTTCTAGGAGAGAGAGAGACAGCGTGATCAGGGGAGGGTCAGAGAGAGAGGGAGACACAGACTGAAACAGTCTCCTGGCTCTGAGCTGGCAGTCAGCACAGAGCCCGACGCGGGGCTCGAACCCACGGAACTGTGAGATCATGACCTAAGCGAAAGTCGGATGCTTAACCGACTAAGCCACCCAGGCGCCCCCATCATTACAATTTTCTAATAGCCACATTGAAAAACAAAACAAAGATGAAAAACCAGCAACCAAAGTCAATTTTAATAATCTTTTTATTTAACCCAATGCATTCCAAACATTACCATCTCAACATGTAATCAATATAAAAAAAATCATCAAGGAGATTTTACGCTTTTTTTCCCCCCCATGAAGTCTTCCAAATCTGATGTGTATTTCACACGTACAGAACATCTCAAGCTGGACTGGCCTCACTGCAGGTGCCAGGCAGGTACAGGCAATGGCTGCCATGCAGGGTTAGATCACACCGCGGAGGGCTGGACAGCAAAAGGAGACCAGGTCTGGAACGCCAAGAGCGCTGAGCGAGTCAGAGAGCCCTGTGTGGGCTGTCGTTCCCAGAGCCATCTGGTGGGGACCAGAGGTCAAAATAGGTCAGTTCAGCAGCCCATCCCAGGACAGTAGGATGTAGCAGGCAGAGAGTCATCTGGAATTTGGGGTATGTCAGACAGAGAGGCCTTGGAGAGTGGGGAGTACGTCAGAGGACCGTGATGTGGCCGATGAGGCACGGGGCAGAGCGATGGAACCAGGAAGGGCTGGGCTGGGGTCAAAGCTCAGTTCCCTCGGGGCGAGGGGGGCTGCTGTGAGGCTGCAGGGAGAGGTAGGGATGGGGTGGGGGGTGGAAGGCTGTGTACACACAGCTCGGAACTGGAGCCGTCGGGGATATGGGCCCAGAGCTGCCAGGCTCCACTGGTTTGTCCATAGAAGCCAGAAATCCGGATTTTTGTGTGAAATCTGACTTTTCAAAGCTGGCAACCAATTCAAATTCTTTTGAGGCACTGTGCTTGGCCAAACAAAACATGTCTGCCGGCCGGCTTCTGCCCAGGCGCCCCGTCGGCCAGTTGTGGCAGAGCTCATGTTGGGAGAGAGGCATCCCATGACTAAGATGGGGGGGAAGCCTGGAGGGTGGACCTGTCTGCCGGGCCGAGGGGGCCCTGGCTTTCCAGCCTGAGGAAGCTGGAGGGGCCAGTCTCCGGCACCCTGGGGGTGGAGGTCAAGTTCAGGGCTCCACGTCTGCCTGACTTTCGGCTCAGGAGTCACAGCCGGACACCGGCTCAGGCTGACTTGAGTCACAGGGGGTCCTACAGGAGCAGGCAGTGGAGCAGGTGCCCAGGAGCTATCCCACAGTCACAGGGCTGTCTCTACCCCACCCTCTCTGCCCTAGAGTCCTCTCCACTGACCAGCTGCTTCTATGCATTCCCTCATTCTTGCTCTTCAACAATCGTAGGGCTCTGGACCCAGTCACATGACTTTCCATGATCGCAGGGCTGCAGGGCCCCAGGGGTATCATCCATCTCAATTCGGATTCTCTCTCTCTCTCTTTTTTTTTACATTTATTTATTTTTGAGAGATAGAGAGAGACAGAGCGTGAGCAGGGAGGGGCAGAGAGAGAAGGAGACACAGAATCTGAAGCAGGCGCCAGGCTCTGAACAAGCATTCAGCACAGAGCCTAACGCGGGGCTCAAACCCACGAACCGTGAGATCATGACCTGAGCTGAAGTCGGACACTCAACCGACTGAGCCACCCAGGCGCCCCATCAACTCAGATTCTCAAGAGAACAAATCCAGTGGAATGGGCTTGGCCAGGTGGCCACCTCTGTCCTGATCAATTACGTCCAGGGTGTGATGTTACCTGGTACAGCGTTCCCCCTCACCAGGCCCACCCTTCCTCCAGGCTGTACATGGGCTGGCTTGCCCGGAAGGGAGCTCCGGGCAGGCCTGTGGTGGGGATGGCCTAGGCCATGCCTGAGCCCTCCCCGGGCCCCAGGAGCCCCTCTTACGGGGGCCTTTACCGATTTTCCTGTGTTTGGAGTGTCTGGGAGAGACAGGCACACCCAGAAGCCCCGGAACGTTGCAGCTTTAGCTCAGAGAAATTTCGACCTCCCTGCTTGAGGAGCAAGCAGTCCAGAGAGGGGGTCTAGAAAGCCAACTGAGCATCTTGAGGGAGCTGAAACTGGGGGCTTGGAGGCCAGAGAGTTCATCCAGGTAGATCCCCAGCGCCCGGAAGAACCACAAGCCAACGACTCCATGGCAGCTGCGGGTGGACCAGGCCGTGCAGGGGCTGTGGCCTGGCCCGGTCACGGCAGGACACAGAGAGCTGGGAGGGAGGTTCCAGAACACTGTGGTGGAGGACATAGCTCAGAGCCCCCAGAATTTAGAGCCAGGACCCAGAAGTCTTGGAGCAAAAGGTGTTAGAGCCTGACCCCAGGCCTGGAGTTGTGACCCAGGGGACCTGAGTTTGAGAAACCCCCTACAGAGCACATGGGAAATGCCCCCCATCTCCCAATACAGCTGAAGGCCCCAGGTCCCCATGGAAACCCAGATGGCAGAGGGGGAGTGGGCAGGGCCCTCGGGACCCCTGACCCCAGGGACCCTGTCACGACAGGCCTTACTGGCCCTCGGACAGCTGAGGCCACAGAGCTTCCGACGGGGAAACCAGAACTGTGTGCTTCCGCGAATCGAGTGAGGCAGCACGGGCTGGGCGGCCTGAGAATTACAGCAGGCAGGCTTGGGCCTCCTCAGAAGCCCCAGCTTCAACTGCACCAAGAGGAGACAGAAACCCAGGTACCATTGGTGCCCTCAGCCCAAAAGCCTCAGGGCACCATTTAAGCCCTCAGGACAGATGCTTGTAGACGCAGCCCCTCAGCCTCTTCCGGGGGAGCCCCTTCCCCACTGCATGCACTCCCACAGGCCCACAGGGAGCTCCCCAAGGCTTGTCAGGGTCACTGATGGGTCCCCAGTGCCCAGCCTGGGGCTTGGCACATGGTAGCCCCTCAGGGGACTCTCAGTGTGTATTTGCTGAGTGAATCCAGAGGACCCAGAAGACCTGGACCAATCACACTTCCCTCTGCCAAGAGTTCTTGAAGGCAGGGATCGGGTTCTGGTCACCTGTGAGTTCCCAGGGCCGACCCACATAAGGGACACATGCAGGGAGGCAGGACCCCACTCTGGCTGAGATGAGAGGAGGGGAAAGGCAGGGGGGACTTTGGGAGAGGGAATCCCCGCCCCCCCCACCTCTCCACCAAACTGGATCTTCCACGCCAGGATCGCATCCACAGAGGGCTTCCTGACATACCTGCCCCTGGGAAGGGGTCTAGGCAGGCTTGGGAGCACCCCCAGTCCCTCGGGGGCCCAGTCCTGGCCACCTCCCGAGGCTCCCTTTCTGTAGCGAAGTGTTTGTAAACATTAAAATGCTGTCCAGGTATGGAGTGATGCCATTTACATAAAGTACAAGACCAGGAAAACTAATCGATGCAGCTAGAAGTCGGGACAGTGTCCTGCCTCTCAGGAGTGGGGGGGGGGGGGTGACGTCTGCTGAGGGGCTGGTGATGCTCTGTTTCTTGAGCTGGGTGCTGGTTATTTTGTGAAAATACATTTTGTGGACATTTATTGAGACGCCGACTCCTGCACTTTTCTGTACGTGTTCATACTTCCCAAAAGTGTTTAAAAGGTTAACCAACAAAACAGCAGCCACCAGCCCGCTCCCTTCGGTGACAGCGGTTCCAAATGCAGGCACCCCGCTGGGGGTGGGAGATGAAGGGCCAGAGAGCTGTCCCGACCCGGGATCCCACCTACAGGAAGGCCCCATTTCCACTTAGACGACGGTACCTTCCCGGCCAGGAAGAACAGCAAACTTGCCTAAAATGCCTTTATTTCCACTTGCCAAGGATTGAGAAAATGTCTCCTGAGCGCCAGAGGTGTTTTCATTTGAGGTGTCAGGGAGGCTGAGGGCGTTGGGGGACGGGGACATCGCCTCACCCTTCCGGCGGACACCCCGCGAGGCAGGGTGCAGGGTGCGCTCAGCCTGGCGCGGGGAGGGGTGCGCCGTGAGCACCGCAGGGACAGGGACGCGGGGGGCGGGGCGCGGTGGCCCGTAGCCCCGCCCCAGTAGGCGGGGCCTCCGTCGGGCTCCGCCCACCGCCCACCTGCCCCGCCCCGCCTCCCGCCGCCGAGGGTCCCGCGGCTGCGGCGCTCCGGCCTGTCCCCCGGCACCCGGCTGGCGCCCGCCCCCCGCCGCCGTCGCCCGCCCCGCTGGCCGGCCCGTGGCGCCCCCCGCCCCGCCCGCGTCCCCGGCCGCTCGGCGCCTCCTCCATGGGTGAGTGCGGGGCCCCGGTGCGGCCCCGGCGAGCAGGCCTGCAGATCCGCTGCCACCGCGCCGGCTCGAGGAGGGGCGCGGGCGGGGGGCGCCGCGTGCCGGCGGGCCGGGCGGGGGGAGCCGTGGGGGGGGGCAGGGCGAGCTCCTTCCCCTGCTCCGGGGAAGGCCTGCTCACGGTGGGAAGTGGACGCCGACCTCGGAGTCAGGGCGGTGGGGGTCCAAACTCTGTCCCCATGTTGGGGCCCTCTGTAGCAGCACCCCTACCCCTGACCCTGCACGCTGGCTGCGGCGGGCAGCCCCTCGGCCCCTTCCCTGCCCCCTCCGCTGCTGCACCCCAGCCCCTAGGAAGAGAGGCAGCTTGGAGGGGGCCAAATTCTGGGTCAAAGATGGACCAGGGGGTAAAGGGGACACCCGGGCCTTTGAGGAGGAGTCGGTCCACAGAGGCAGTGATGTGGAGGGCAGGGGGTAAGAAGGGATGGTGGACTCAGCAGCCCTTTGGGGATCCCCCAGGAAGTCTGGAGCCCCGCAAGGTCACTGAGCTACCCCGCCCCCCACTAGTGGGACAGAGGGAGGGAGCAGCTTATTTCCAAAGACGTTTTCTCCCCATGGAATCTGGATAATTTCCCTGGGGAACTGCAACAAGAAAAGGGCTCTGCAAACAGATTCCCAAGCAGATAAGTTGGCATTTAAAAGAGAAAGGGACACTGACCTCCTTTGAAGGGAGGATTGAGGAGACAGCTCCACCCATCCTCTAGTCTGGAGGCCACTGGGGCCCCAGGGCCCGCCTGGGTGCCCTGGCCTGGGACGCAGCCTCCCTGGGCCCCACCTGACTGATAACCCTCTGCTTCTCTCCTCTGCAGACGACCAGAGCCCGGCGGAGGAAAAGGGACTGCGTTGTCAGAACCCCAACTGCATGGACAAGGGGCGAGCAGCCAAGGTAGGGAGGACGGAGGGCCCGGGTAGCTGGGGGCAGAGACCACAGGGCTCTCTCTGCGGGCGTGGTCACCCACAGTGTCCCCTGGGTGCAAGGGTGAGCAGGGCCGCAGGGCGCCTGGTTTACAAGGCAGAGGGGCGGCCCTTGGCTCAGAAACAAAATGGGGGGGACTTCTGTAAGAGCAGGGGAGCAGGGGCACCCCAAAGCCCTTTCCTGCACTGCAGTCCTCGCGGTGACAGGAGCTGTGGCCCCACGTCACAGATGAGGAAGCTGGACCCAGGAAGAGAAAGGACGCACCCCCCCCACCCCACCCCCCGTCCAGGCTTCGCCCCAGTGCCCAGCTGGTCCTCTCTCTGGAGCACTCTTCAGGCTTGGGCATGGGTCAGGGACACACATGGGTCAGGGACTTGGTGAGAGTGGCCGTGCCATGGGAATGACAGAGGGAAGGAGGGACAAACTGGTCCTGAAGCGCCAGGCCTTGGGATCGGCAGCAGAGCAGAACAAGAGGGAGAATGATAAATATCGTCGCTGGGCACTCCTGTCCATTATGGGCTGGGCTTTGAGCCACACGCTTTCTGTGCCTTATGTACTGTTTGTGGCAGCTCTGTTGGGAAGGCCTGCGCGCCCCCTTTTCCAGATGAAGATACCAAGGTTCAGAGAGGTCCTGTGACTTGGCTGAGGCCCCGCAGCTCATGAGAGAGCAAGCCAGGGCTTTGAACTCAAGCGTGGCCCCTTCCAGCACGCATTTGAGTGACCATGGTAATGACTGCCAGCTCTTCCTGTGTCAGGCCAGGGAGCTGAGGACTCACTGTCTCCTCCTTCTGGCCTTCTGAGATCTGTCCTGTCATTGTTATTTATAGATGAGGAAACTGAGGCTCAGAGAGCTAATGGCTCACCCGAGGACACACAGCCAGGATGTGGTGGAGCTGGGATTTGAACCCAGAGCCCAGCTCTGTGTAATGTCAGAAGCTGTGTTCCTACCCACCGTGCAGCTCAGCTCTGCCAGCTGCAGGAAATCGAAAATGCCACCCTCCCAGCCCCCAGCTCCCCCTCCCACCCCCCTCCACCCAGACACATGCTCATACATTCTGCACAGGAAGACCAGGTTAGAAGGAACACGGAGGACTGTTATGGGGGCGGGGACAGGAGGCGGAGGCTTTCAGTTGCCGTGGTCACCGGGCAAGGGGGTGGCTGTGATGTCAGACACAATCTGCTGGCGCGGATGGTGCCTGGCATTGGGACTCTGGTGTTGGCTGGTTGCCTCTCTCCCAGATGGGGGCTCCTGGCTCCTCAGCTACCCCCAGCATACATCCTGCCAGGGGCCTGCAAAGCCGGGGGGCCCCTCCTGTGGGTATTTGCCCCTGGGGCAGGTCCCCAAGCCGCTGCAGGCAGGCGCAGAAGTGAGGCCAGTGAGTTGAGAGCTGGTCTCAGCGAGTGTGGGTACTCGGCCGCCTCCGGGTCCTAGCTCCAGCCCAGCCCTGGGCTGCCGGGAACTCGGCATGACTGCCGTTGGCCAGAGGGTCACCCAACCCCGCTGTGGGAGAGCCCAGGTCCTGGGCTCGTGAGACCCGCTGTAGGACAAACGGCACAGACTCACTGTGGGGCCAGGGACGCCTGAGTGGGCAGAGGGGCTGGGCGGCCGGTGTGGGAGGGCATCCTGGAGGAGGTGGAAGTAGGGAGAGGCAGAGGGGAGGCAGGGCTGGTCCAGGAAGGCGGGTCGGCCACAGGCAGGAGAGCAGAGGCAGGGCAAGGGGTCTAGCAGGCTGGAGCAGAGAGCCAGAGGAGAGGCGAAGGACATCCTGCTTTGCTGAGAAAGAGGAACAAAGCATGTCCTTGATGGTGACAGTCACACGCCGACCAAGACCAAACCTGCTTGTGCACCCGGTGGGCATTAGGGCCTCATGCTGGTCTCCCAGAGCCCTGGAGAGCTCAGGAGGAAAGCGAGTGGAATGAGGCTCAAGGGGAAAGAGCTTTTGCCCACCTTGCACAGCATGGCTCGCAGAGCTGGATCTGGAGGGGGATCAAGGGTCTCGTTCTCGCACCTTCCCAGTGGTGCTCAGAAGGCCAGCAGTTTAGGACCAGCTTTTTAATATTTTTTTTTTAATTTCTAGGAGAGAGAGAGAGAGAGAGAGAGAGACAGCGTGAGCAGGGGAGGGTCAGAGAGAGAGGGAGTCACAGACTCTGAAACAGGCTCCAGGCTCTGAGCTGGCAGTCAGCACAGAGCCCGACGTGGGGCTCGAACCCACGAACCGCGAGATCATGACCTAAGCGAAAGTCGGACGCTTAACCAACTAAGCCACCCAAGCGCCCCTAGGACCAGCTTTTTAAAGGAGATGACGTCACTCGTTTGTTCACCGAATGCGCTTGTGGCGTCTGCTGTGCAGGGCCCAGGTCTAGGCCCGGGAGCTCCTGGAGTGGACATCCTAGGAGGGGAGGAGTCAGGACTTGGGTTTGACAGACTGGTCCCCGGGCTTTTTAAACTTCACCCTGTCGTGGGTGCTGGGGCTTCTGAGATGAAGCAGCCGCCCCGCCCCCTACCTGTTGTCCTGGAGCTCGTTCTGGGGGACAGGCTCCCGGAGGAGGCTGCTGGCGTCCTGAGGAAGGAGGAGGCGTGTGGATGGAGGGAAGCCTAGTGAGCAGAGGGGCATGCTGGGGCTATCTTTTTTTTTTTTTTTAATTTTTAATGTTTTATTTATTTCTGAGAGAGAGAGAAGCAGCGTGAGCAGGGGAGGGTCAGAGAGGGAGACACAGAAGCAGGCTCCAGGCTCTGAGCTGTCAGCACAGAGCGCGACGCGGGGCTCGAACCCACGAACTGTGAGATCATGACCTGAGCCGAAGTCGACGCTTAACCGACTGAGCCACCCAGGTTCCCCCATGCTGGGGCTATGTGAGGAGGGAGCTGGGCCGGGGAATGGGTGCAGGGAGGCAGAGCTAGACAGGGAGTCCCGTGAGGTCAGGGCCTCGGAGATCACAGGAGAAAAGGATGTGCGGAGTGGCTCACACCTGTGAGCTCCAGGGTCAAAGCCTACTCCTGTCCAGCTGTGTGATCCTGGGCAAGTCACTACACCTCTCTGATCTCAGTTTCTTCATCTGCAAACAGGCTTCTTGAGTTGTGGGTAGGATTCAACAGGGCTCAGATGTGAAGTGCTTGGTGTGGATCGTGGCATGATGTAGGTTCAAGAGAATGCTAGCTGTTCATCTGCCACGGAAGGGGAGATGAACCCCCCCCCCCAGAGCTGAGACCTCCCCAGATTCCATCCCAGACCCCAGCCAACCCCACCCAGCATGGCAGATGTTGATGGCACATCTGTCCTGTCCCAAGGGCAGGTGGGGCCCGGAGTCTTGGGAGGCGCAGAGATGAAGGGAGTGCTCCTTCTCTCTCTCAAGGAGGCCCTGGTGCTGATACAGTGAGAATCTGGCCCTCCTGCAGAGTAACCACAGGACGGACGGGGCCTGGACTCCCCGACTCCTTGCTGGGCCCCCTTGAGCTGGGTGCTCCGGTCAAAGTCTGTGCAGGGCACTCCAGGTCACAGGGGACATGGTGGAGGGATTTCACTGGCCCAGGGGACACTGGACCATCACATCTGAGGGAACTGAAGACTCAAGGGTATTTATCCTGGAGATGGGACCCTCAGGGCATCATTCTCAAAGGTAATGTTTCTAGCAGCCACCATGCATTTATTCAGTGCCTAGTATGTGCCAGGCTTTCACGCCTCCCCAAAGGGATCCTCCTGTCCTCACACCCACCCGATGCCATAGGGACCACCCCATCTCCACTGGAGCCATAGGATACCTTGAAGCAGAATATGCAAGGCCAGGCCAGGATTTAAACCAGATCTGTCTGTCCCCAGAGCCTCCCATTTCTAAGGAGCTATCAGGAGGAAAGGGAGGTGAGTTTTTCTGCTTGGCTCCAAGGGCCCCGGGCAGGAGGGGAAGTTTCCAGCAGCTGAAGCTGCTTCCCAGTGTAGCGGCTATGAGCATCCCATTCCTTTTTTTTTTCTTTTTCTTTTAGGTAAATGTTTAATTTTCATTCAAATATTTGGTGTTTGTGAGCACCCCATTCCTAGAGGTATTCAAGCAGAGTGGACATTGGATTTGATGACTTTAGAATTCCCTTCCAGTTTAACAATAGGTTGTGAGGTGGCAGGGATGAGTCAGGGGAGGTGTGTCTAGGGGAGGGGTGGCCCGATGAAGACCAGTGGACACAGGGCAGAGGAAGGGGTGGATCTGAGATCCTTGTGGGGAAAGAATGGACAGGATGTGGTGAATAATGGGAGAAGGAGTCACCTATTCTCCAGGGCAATGCTCTGGGGATGAGAGGTGGGGGGCCAGGGCGCCCTTGAGAATGGCCAGGTTCTGGGGATTTCTGGGGGTGACTTTTAGATGCTGGCCAGCTGTGGACAGGTCCCATCTGCAGCTGCAGGCAGTAGCAGGACTAGGGAAGCGGTGCAAACGGAAGTGCTGGGCTTCTGCTAAGTACGTCTGGGGACAGCGGGTGACGGCTCAGGGTGCCTGGCCCAAGAGGCAGGGACAGAGGATCCACCACGTGTGATGTGGCCAAGATGAGCTGTCGTGTAGTGGGCCCGGCCCCAGCGGGGTCAGTGCTGCCAAGGAGGGCAGGGCCTGCTGGGAGGGGGACCCGGCAGCCTCGAGGCCCTGGACTGGTTCTGGGTTTGGAAGAATGCGGGAGGGCCTGAGCCCAAGATCTGCCCCAAGTCCAGCGCCCCGGGCCCCCTCCGTAGTGATAATTAGGGAAGGGGGTGCTGTGCTGGGGCCGGTCACCTCACTCCTCTGGCCATACTCCTGTGTCCTGGAGCGCTCCCCGCAACCCCTGTGCCAAGCGCAGTTATTCTGAACCTAGGCAGCTGGGAGAGGGGAGCCCGGAACCACCAAAGGGCGGAATGGCCCCCTTTCCAGCCACGCCAGGCACGGGCTAGGGAAAAGGAGGGGGCGCAGAGATAGGGGCCCCGTTTCTCAGGCGCCGCGGAGGGCACAGTTCAGAA